ATCCTCGTCAGCGGTGCCGTTACAACTGCGGTCGAGCTCATGTATGTCAGCAGTGTTTTGGGCCTCATCCATGCCATGCCTGCGACCGCTCCGGTCCGGGCGCTTCAGGCTGACGAGTTTCAAGACTACAGGGCTCCCCTCACCTCCCTGGGGGAGTCCTTACACACCAGTGCACCACGAAGGGGAGCTGCGAATTCAACCTGGTGGACACCCTTCTCGGGCCAGCTAAAGTGGGGGAAGGGCTTCTTTGCCCGCGAAGGGGGTGAGGCTTTGCACTAGGGCTTCTTTGCCCGCGAAGGGGGTGAGGCTTTGCGCTTCAAGGGGGTGAGGCTTTGCACTTCTTTGCTTGGCACTCCTTTGCCCGTGAAGGGGTGAGACTTTGCATGTAGAAGGCAGAGAGACAGATAGAGGCAGAGAGAGAGGCGGCATGGCCATGATAGACCACAAAGAGACAGAGACAGAGGGCAGAGAGAGAGAGAGGCGGCGTGGCCATGATAGACCACAAAGAGACAGAGACAGAGGCGAGGCTTTGCGCTTGCACTTCAAGGGGTGAGGCTTTGCGCTTCTTTGCTTTGCACTCCTTTGCCCGTGAAGGGATGAGGCTTTGCATGTAGAAGACAGAGAGACAGATATAGAGGCAGAGAGAGAGAGGCGGCGTGGCCATGATGGACCACAAACAAAGAGACAGAGACAGAGGCGAGGCTTTGCACTTCTTTGCTTTGCGCTCCTTTGCCCGTGAAGGGGGTGAGGCTTTGCGTGTAGAAGATAGATACTTATAGAGGCAGAGAGAGAGAGGCAGCATGGCCACGATAGACCACAAAGAGACAGAGAGAGAGGTGATGTGGCGGCATGACCTTGACAGAATGCAAAGAGACGGCCAGAATAGACCACAAGAAGAGAGAATGGCCAGGATAGAGGCGATGGGGCCTTGATAGAGTGCGAGAAAGAAATCAGGGCCATGGTAGACTGCAAGAAGAGAGTTTGGCCAAGGCAGAAGGCAAGAAGAGAGATTGGCCAAGACAGAAGGCAAGAGGCGGCGTGGCCATTATGACAGAGTGAGACAGAGACAGAGGCGACGTGGCCGTGATAGGCGGCAGAGAGACAGAGAGAGAGAGAGATCGGCCAAGACAGAAGACAAGAGGAGAGATTGGCCGAGATAGAAGGCAGGGAGAGAGACCTGATAGAGAGGCGGCGTGGCCACGAAGGAATGCACGAAAAGAGTCTTGGATTGAGACAGAGAGTTGGCGCGGCCATGATAGAACACAGGAGAAGAGACTTCGTGCAGTTGCCAGGTTGGAACACGTGGAAGAGAGATCTGGCTCAGATAGAATGCGAGGAGAGAAGTTCAATAGAATGCAAGAGGATAGTTCGGCCAAGATAGAAAGCAAGAATTGGCCGAGTTAGACGCCGAGAGAGATGAGCAAAACATAGCAAAACCATTTATCTGGCCAAAGGGCCAAGATAGAATGCAAGAAGACGGACTTGATGGAATGGCAATGCGGCCATAATAGGAGGCAAAAGAAGGGATTCGGGCAGAAGGAGAGAGAGATAGAGATTCGTGGCTGCCTTTTGCCCGCGCTTCCTTCCCATGCTCTTCCTCCCCGTGCACTCGCGTCCAGGTTCCTGGGCACGGAGGGCTGGAGAAGTTTGAGAATGCCACCTTGCAGAAGGAGGTCCTCACAGAGAGCTGGTCATGAGGAGAGGCGCGGGGGACCTAAACTAAACACAACAATAGACGTGTCGTGGTGTGAAGCTTTCTCCCAGTACGTAGCACCTAGAGAGCGGGGAGTGCAGGCCTCGCTACTAGCTAAAGTGGGGGAAAGAGTAGCAAGGCCATGCAATAAACCCTCCTTGTGTTGACAA